AAATACCAATAAAACACCCATCACCCCTTACACATGCACACACACACACCTATGCATACTAGACTCCGATATCCTGACACCTGTTCACTACTGCACACGCACAAATACACAGACGCCTCGTACTGCAAATCCATTGGAGAAATCAATAAAATAAACTTGCATAACGGCGTACACCGTATACGATTGGCCCTGAACCCCTAGTGCATATAATGCGGACGTGCGGGTGTATATATACATACATACATGGTGTATAATACATGGTATATATATACCTACATACATATATATACCTACATCCATATATCTACCTACATACATATATATACCTACATACATGTACACGCATGTCCCCACCTCTTGTAGACCACTCCGGCCTTCTCTCGGTCGAGCGCCACCTTCATCACACCCTTGGGCTTCATCAGACACACCGTGATCATGCTAGACACAGCCATTACATCATCTGTCCTGGCATTAACGACATCTGCTTCATCGATCACATCATCTGCTTCTTCGATCACATCATCTGTCCTGTGATTGACGACATTTGCTTCTTCGATCACATCATCTGCTTCTTCGATCACATCATCTGTCTTGTGATTGACGACATCTGCTTCATCGCGTTCCGTCGCACTCGCGGTGTCCAAGAGTACCGGTTCGCTTGGCGTGCTTGTGAGAGAAGGTGTCTGATCGTCTAGGGGGTCTGCATGGATTGTGCTCGTGATTGTGTTTGTGTCTGTGATTGTGTTTGTGTCTGTGCTTGTGTCTGTGTTTGTGTGCGTGTCCGTGTTTGTGTTCGTGTGTGTGTGTGTGTTGGTAGTGGTGTTCATCTCGGCTGGTCCGCTGGGAGGGCTTATGGAGGCGTTGGCAAAGTAGGCGGACATGTGCGCGTTCATCACATCGGTAGACGCCTGCAGAGGAGAGTGTGGGAGTGTTGTGCTCGAGGACACGCATGTGCATAGGTGTGTACGTGTGCATACGTATGCCTTGCGCATGTGCACAGGTGAGTACGTGTGCATACGGATGCCTTACGCTTGTGCATAGGTGTGTACGTGTGCATACGTATGCCTTTCGCATGTGCACAGGTGCGTACGTGTGCATACGTATGCCTTTCGCATGTGCACAGATGTGTACGTGCGATTGTACATTCTGTTGGTCACTGTCGCCAGCGATAGACATTCATAGGCATGTCTATAATTGACTGGAGTGCATTATACGAGGGTGTCCTTTTGCCCAGGCAAAAGGGGGTGTGGGGGGGGAGGGAAAGAGATAACTATATGCGATCCATGTACTGTGATATACACCATAAACGAAGTCACAGAGTACCACAGGGACACGCAAATGGACCAAAAACGAGCCCAACTAGTTACGGTAAAAGGTCTCAGTGTTCGCTCACACCGTCGCACAGTCTCGTGTGGGGGTATGCAGAAGCATATATACGTTAACTTGTTGAAATGGCGTATAGTCATGTACGAAATGTACCTATCCATATACAAATGTATAAACTGACACAAAAGTCCATGATTCCCGAACATTGATACTCAAATGTTCCGCATAGTAGTAAAAAATAAGCACACCACATGGCCCTATTGCAAGCATTCAAATCCATTCAGCGCCCACCCCAGCAGGCCCGAGTATAGCCCACTGTGGGCATACCTTGCGTTTGCGTTTAACGCAGTGCAGAGTCACCTCATCTCGAAAGTACAGAATAGAGGTCTTCGCAGGGACAACCACATCGACTGTAAATGAAGGCGCCCGCGAAGTGAGATGCTATTAGAATGTGCACTCATGCACAGATGTAAACGGAAAAGAAAGGATGTTACAACTGGTTATTGTATGTATGTATGCATGTATGTACGTATGTATGCATGTATGTATGCATGCATGCATGCATACATGTATGTATTTATTTATGTATGTATGTATGTATGTATGTATGCATGTATACATGCATGTATGTAAGTATGTATGTCTGCATGTATGTATGTTTTTATGTATGTATGTATGCCTGTATGCATGTATGTATGTATGTATGTATGTATGTATGTATGTATGTCTGCATGTATATATGGAAAGGGAGAGGGGTGAGTAAAATGGGAACTACAGAAATATCTCACCCCTATTCCGAAGACTGAAACACCGTCTGACTCAGCTACAGATACGACATGGTGCACCCATGCGAGGCTTTATACACTCACACCCACAACAGGCTTATAGAATACTAGCGTAGGAACTTAGTAACATCACATACCGTAGGGACTTAGTAACATCACATACTGTAGGGACTTAGTAACATCACATACTGCTGGTACTTAGTAACATCACATACTGTAGGGACTTAGTAACATCACATACTGTGGGGACTTAGTAACATCACATACTGCTGGAACTTAGTAACATCACATACTGCTGGAACTTAGTAACATCACATACTGTAGGGACTTAGTGACACCACATACTGTAGGGACTTAGTAACATCACATACTGTAGGGGCTTAGTAGCATTGCCTGCATGTCGTCAGTGTGGATGGTTCTCCGCTCGTAAAGTGTGCGGATGATGTCTTCCACTGTCGTAAGGGGTGTGCACGAGAACGGCACAGGCTGGTTGACGCCGTAGTTGGTGTAGATGGGCACTATTGTCTCGCCTGGTTCCTACACAGGGCAAGTAGGTACGAAAGGGAATGGATTTTGTATTTGGTAGTAAGAACGGGGTAAGCAGAGAAAGGTGTTTTCGTAGTAGGCACCTGGGTGCACTGAGTCCTGGGTGTATGGCCATGCTGACTGGTAGTGGAACTGTAAGGGGCGTACGTAGTGTGTAGATGAGTACCATGGACTCTCCAGGACCCTACAGCACACAGACAATGAACAAGGGAATAAAAACTAAACAAGGAAAATAAACTAAACTAAACTAAAATAAAATAAAACAAAATAAAACAAAATAAAACAAAATAAAACAAAATAAAATAAGAAAAAATAAAATAAAATAAAATAAAATAAACGGGTTTTAGCCAAATGCGCGCTTCGTCGAGGGCTTTGGGCCTTCTGTTACGAAACTCATGTGAGCTGACATACCCCAATCAATCACAGCACAAACATCTTAAACCATACCCATACGTACACAAACATGCTTAAGCCATACCCATACGAACACAAACATGCTTAAACCATTGCCATTCTTATACAAACATGTTTAAGCCATTACCTTTCTTATACAAACATACTTAACCCATTGCCTTTCTTATACAAACATGCTTAAACCATTACCTTTCTTATACAAACATGTTTAAGTCATTGCCTTTCTTATACAAACATGCATAAAACCATTTCCTTTCTTATACAAACATGCTTAAACCATTGCCTTGCTTATACAAACATGCTTAAACCACTACCTTTCTTATACAAACATGCTTAAAACCATTACATTTCTTATACAAACATACTTAAATCATTGCCATTCTTATACAAACATGCTAAAATCAATACCTAACTTATACAACCATTTTTGTATCACATCTCACACATGGACAAGCATGCTTAAACCATACCCATACGTGTACAAACATGCTTAAACCATACCCATACGTATAAAAACATCGTTGTATCACATCACACACATACATCGGATTGAATGCGATCGCCTGTCTCTACCAGCCTGAGCATTTCGTCCAGTGACTTGGGTCGTTTCTCGAGGAAGACTGTCAGCTCTCTCTCAGTGCGAGGGCGGTTGCGCAAGAGACTGCTGCTGTCTACCACATCGTTCTTGACCCCTTCTTTGGGTTCAGCCTGTAGTTTTATATGATGATATATAAACAATATATAAGTATATATATATATAAATATATATATATATATACACGCAAACACACACCCACACACATATA